TCGGACGGTCCATGTGTATTTCTGGACCATCCGTTCCGGCCTTCGGATTTTTCGAAAATAAATCAAAATTAGGGTTAATCACTTTATAAGGAGATTAAAAACCCTAATAGAGGAGAGCTGATGACATGTATTTTGGTGACATTTTGGTATAGGATGTCTAGTGCATTTTACTCGGTTTTGCATATTTATAGGCATTCTAGAGCACATTTGGTCTCGATATTGCTTGGTTGCTTTCTTTGGTGTCAAAACAGGTATTTATGCATAAAAGAGAGCAAAAGGAGTGGAAAATATGGACTACGGAACATCACAGACGAAACGGGAACATTTGGAGTTGTTCCGGGGAAAAACACGAAGCCTAAAAAGTCATATCTTGCAAATCTAATAACTTCCCCTCTACAAGTCCAAATTGTGCGTTATTTATCTCATTGGAAAGCTCTCTTCAATATCTACGCATAGACACCAAGATCGCACAAATCCGACATTGTAGCAGAAAGTTATGAGCAAATCTGTCAAGCATGTTCGAGTTGAATAATCGACACGAATCGTGTTGCATTCGACACGGCCGTGTTGTGTCCGTGCTGAAAAAAGTGAAGTTTTGCTCAGATAATTGACACGGACCGTGTTGTCATTCGACACGGCCGTGTTGATTCAAACTCGCCCGTGTTCAACCTATGTCTAAAGTGCAGATTTTTAACAGAGAATTGATACGGACCGTGTTGCATTCGACACGGCCGTGTTGCATTACGGGAAACCTTCCTATTTTGCATCCGGACTTCCGTTTTCAGCAAAAGAAGAAACGAAGCAACCAAGCCAATAAAGAGAGAACGTCGTAGACTTCAGAATTCATCGAGAGATCACAGGAAAAGCCAGAGAACTCGAGAGAGAATCAAGACGGAGTTTCCCGGGAGCAGAGATTGAAGAATCGTCGTCGAGAGATCGCTGCGAGTCTTCTTTATCTGTTTCTATGTTTCTCTTTATTGATTTGAACTCGTTCGTTGTTATGGGTAGTGAGTAGCCGTTTCACTGTAGCTAGGGATTTAACCTTGTAGGGATTTGTTTGGTTTTTATTTTCCGAGACTACGTTATCGATACTCTTCGGTTTAATTGAATTGAGTTTATTGCTTTTGATCTTCTTGGCCAGTTGATTGATTGATTTTAGATTCTGATTTGCAACGAGAGTTGAGATTAGATTCGGAATGAATTCATTGAATGAATTGATTAAGACTATTGAGAGATAAGTTAATCGGTTTAGGAACTGTGATAGTGATCGTTAATGCATTTGATATTTTAATCTATTAGGTTGAGAGATCGATAGGTTAAATTATTGGATAGTGGATTTAGGACTTGAGAGAGCCAAATCTGATATTAGAACTTGAGATCCCCGATTAGAGTTCGATATTCGTAGATTCTCCATTCTTAGAAACAATCCCTACTCATTAAGGTTATCCCGAAGCTACGGTGGTTTATCTATCTGATTTTACTTAGTTAGTTTATTGTTTTATTTTCGATATTTACATACTTCATTCCATATTTCCTGATCTAATTCTTGGTCGAGTCTTGTTCCTAGAGTTAACTATTCCCTGTGTTCGACCCTGGTACTACAGTTGATCTGTATCCTTGCGGTATTCGCTGTATCTAGGTTTTTATCACTTGAGCATTATTTCTATACCTAGATTTGCGTTATCAGAGTACACATACGATGATGAGCATATGGCAGTACATTCTCAATAGCATTTATCAAACCCTAAAATCAAATACAAAAATGCCATATAAGGTATATCATCTGATTGCATGTAATGAAACCAAATAAACCTATACTTCACCTTTTACTTGTCTGAGAGTATAGTAATATTGTGTCCTTCCCCAAAGTCCAAGTCTGTTTGTAACTTACGCACAAACCACGTCCAACTTTCGATATCTTCCATTCGTGCAACTGCCCATGCTATAAGATAAATCCGGTTGTTCGCATCTCTGCCAACAGCAGAAAGGAGTTCTCCTTTAAACTCTCATTTCAAAAAACATCCATCTAAGTCGATCACAGGGCGACAATGTTTCTTCCAAGTTTCACGTAAAACCTCGAAACATACATAAAACCGATCGAACACTTGGTGACCAGATTCTATTTTTGTCACAATTTCCGTTGTTGTGTTAGGATTTGATCTCCTTAGTTCCGCTTCATAATCCCATAGCTTTGCAAACTGAACTCTTTGATCCTCCATCAAAACTCCTAAAGCGATTTGTCGAGCTTTGAAGCACTTTGATAAAGACACTGTCATCTCACATTCTGTTTGCAGATCATGTTGCATTTGGGCAGCAGGATATGAAGGTTGTTTTCTGAGGATTTCACTGAACATGGCTGCAATGTGTCTCATCGTCAACAATGATGCATGTCCATCTTTGGTGTGATTGTGATCTGGGTCATACGTCTTTATCACCCATTTATTCAAAGGGACATCTATTGAACAATATACTCTCCAACGGACAAGTCTCCCTATTACACACAACAACATAATTGGTCTTCTCCCATCTGGAAATTCTCACATTATATTTAGTTGCCAGCATGTATTGGAAAACAACATCTTTAAATTCCTCAGCATTGTTGAATGTCTTACCAAAGCTTAGATGATCATCTCCTTCAACCGATTTTCTTGTTTTCAGACCGCCTAAGTTAGGCCTCTCAAAAGACTCTCATTCATCTGTTGTATTTTGCGGTGTCCGAGGATAAAAAACGTCTTTATTTGCATTATCCTCATCGCTCACGTATTCAGCAGGTCCCTAATCAAAATATAAAGTCCTAATCGCAGATCCCGAGTTCAATCATTTCACGAGTTTGATGGAGGAGCCGGCCTTGGAACCTGAAATACTCTACCGGTATATGGACCCTACCATCTTCATTCAGAAACTCTTCTTCCCTACCCACTTCTTCTCTAACTTCTTCATTTTGAACCTCTTCTTCCCTAATCTCTTCTTCTAAAACCTCGTCTTCCCTAATCTCATCTTCTAAAACCTCTTCATTTTGAACCTCATCTTCTAAAACCTCTTCATTCAAACTAGTTTCTGCCCTAACCTCTTCTTCTAAAATCTCTTCATTCCTAACCTCTTCATTCTGATCTCCCTCTTCTACAACAAATTCTTCTCCAAATCCTTCCCCAACATTCTCATTCTGAACCTCATCTGGACACCCTTCACTTTCAGGAAGACATGGTATCACGTTTGGTTCTAATACCTTATGATCTACATATACATCTATCTCCTTCCCTTCCTCAGCTAATTTACACATATCACAAATCTCACAATCTATGTCTTCCTTAACTACCCTCAATTCTTGCATACTCTCATGCGGCAACTTATACAATATCACAGAAATGGGAGATGATATCTTACGGGAATGCACAAACTTCTCAAAGACAAACTATGATAACTTATCTGGATCGAACTTAACTCCTTTAACCTTAGATCCCCCCATGTAGATGAGTTGTCCATCCACACTTGTAAAAATTCCTCCAAGATGAAAATTCACCCTGATTATTTTTGTTATTTTCACAGCAACAATGTATCCCTGCAGAGATTTCAAAAACTTATGAATAACCCATCAACGACACTAAAACCAGAACTGGACCTATGAACACAACCGAGCTCGTTACCCTAAAATCGACCCTAAACTTAGAACCAAACATATATCCAGAGGGACCGACGAGAGAGAGATGAAATCGATCCCTAGAATCGATCAAATAGAGAGGATGAGAGACCGATCAAAGACATTAAAACCAGCACTGAACCTATACCCAGAACCGAGCTCGTTACCCTAAAATAGACCCTCAACCTAGCACCAAACATATATCCAGAGGGACCGACCACAGACGAGGTGAAATCAAACCCTACAGTCGACCAATCAGAAAATAGGTGAGACACCGTGAGCGATAGACCCTAATCTCGATACTTACCTTCACAGAGGGACTGACGAGAGGAGAGTGTCGATTCGTCAGTGAGAGGGGAGCCCAAGGGGAGAGTAGAGACAGTGACCGACGACGTTCACACCGAGACCGAACAAGAGAACGATCGTCAGACCGAGAGAGTTTTTGTAATTTAGGGTTTCTATTGTTCTGTGATTTGGGGAGAGAGTGTTTCGTATTGGGATTTAGGGATTTTAGGTTTTTTGAGATTTTTTATCAAACCGGTTAGATATTCAATTATTAGTCAACTAACCGGTTCATCCTATGTGGCTTATGACGTGGATGCTTGTTAGGATTTCAAATGATGATTCATCAATGTTAGACGGATTCCGTTACAAGCTAAACGACGTTAATAGATTTTGGTGTAATTTGGAAATTTTTTAAAAGTCTGGGTATTTATATGGAACTTTTGAAAAGTTCAGGTATTTATTTAGAAATTTTATAGTTCAGGTATTTATCTGGTAATTTTGTAAAAAATTCAGGTATTTATATGCGATTATCTCAATTATTATAGTTGATTTTTTTGATAATTATATAGTTCATATATTTTTTTTGAATCATTTAACAAAATTTATTAATTTTTTGACAATTATATAAAACTCTTTTATGTATCTTTTTAACTCATTTAAAAAATTTAGTGTTTTTTAAAATTCAATAAAAAAAGGTTTATGTTTTTATTATAAAAACAAAAGTTTGATATTTTTGTCAAAATTATAAAATTCAGTGTTTTTTTGGATTTCTACGCACATAAACACAACATAATTGTTCTTAATTTCTCCACGAACTGAAACAAGAATCCAATCCAAACAGCAAGAACAAGATGATGAATGATTCTTGGACACAAAGCAAAAGACAGAGATGTCCGAATCCGAAGCGAAAAAATACCAACTACATCCATCTGGGTTTCTCGGATCATAACCCGAGAAATATATCGAAAGAGTAACAAAAAACCACGACAAATGGTGGCATAACTGATCAAACGAAAGACCAGTTGACGAACACGAAGCAGATGCAATGAGCATTCTCGTCTTCGTCGAGAACCTTCCAAGCCACCGCTCTGTCATAAGAGACAGGTCTTCCCATGCTTGATATGCATATCCCACCCTGCATGCACCCGAATCCCTGCGATTTCCCCCGGAGAAAAAAAAACGAGATGAAACGGATCAATCCTTCGAGATTTTAAGGCGTTGATTTTCGATTTCGGGGAAAAACCTGTTGCATGATCTGGGGAAACTCCGAGCACAGAGCCTTCCGCCCGTTTTCGTCGAATATCTTCTCGAGCGATATGTCTTGTAGAGCGACCAATGTTGTCTCGAGCATGTCGAGCCCAGCTTGGTTCGCGAATGTGAAGACGGGCAATGCCTAACCGAAAGGGAGAATCCGCCGAAAAAAGGGTTTCAGGGATCAGTAAACACGAGAATACACGAGCCGAAAACCCGTTTAATTCTATTCCTATAACGTTTCACGTACCTTCATTGAGCAACACATTATAGCATCCGAATGATTCCACAGGTTCTTGAGAACGGATTCATCGCCTTCGCTGCTCGATTTGAGCAAGTTCACGCCCATGTAGCACCTGCCCACAGAACGAATCATCTCCCCAAAAAATGGGTAATTACGTTTTTTTATTGTATACGCCTCCCCGAAGTCGATACCTGTAACTATGGCAAATCCAACGGGCAAGCGTTTGGGCCTCGGGAGTGCCCAGCGGAGTACGAAGACCGACTTGTGAACTTACGTGAGAAGGAGAGAGAGCTAATGCCACTCTCTGAACCGCCGATATAATACCCCGAACGTATTGTCGGGCCACGGATGCTACATGATCCTGCATTTGGCTCTCGAACGCAAATTCAAACGCTATAGTCATCACTGACCTAGTAACCCCAGAATTTCCTGACCCATCACTGGATAGTGCTTTTGTTCCCGTCGGTCCAACCTCCAGCGCTGAGGCAAGGTCTAGAGTGCGATTTGGGCTCGATACTTCCTGCTTCCGATTCGTACATTACCCAGTTAACGGAAAAAAAATGTCAGAGCATCGAACAATGAATCGAAAAAACTAAGATGGGCAACTGAAAAATTCCCGACCTTTCCCGAGTCAAGGGGAATGATACGAAAACCAGATGGAAGAAGAGGTGCATCATCTGCAAATGACGCATCAATTGGAGCAAATATAAGTTCAGCACAGGTTCCAACAGCATTCTCGTCCATTCCGCTGCAAAGCTGTCAGAAGAGACCGTTCGGATACAAGAACGACAAGACAAGATCAGTGTCCGAAAAGCCTCGTACTTTATTTGTATATGGCAGCCAGAAAATAAAGCGAAGATATCTAAAGTTCTCACTTGCAACAGGAAGATATCTCTCGGAATCATAGCGTCTTCAGGTGAATGACCGAGACCTTCCAACTTGACAACTTCCAAAAACTAATCACGAAAAACATGTAAACCCTTTCGATATGAACAACTCGGATGGGTTTAAAAGAGAATGCTTCAACCAAAGATCGGAAGGTCGACAGTT